TCCCCCTCCTCCTCCTCCTCCTCCTCCTCCTCCTCCTCCTCCTCCTCCTCCTCCACCCTCATATCCCCCCCCTGCCTCGTCGAGGTAAAACCCACAAACTATTAAACAGGACGAGTTCGCACGGAGGGTCCCAGAGCGTCCCGGATCGACGGCACAGGCTGGAGGCCTCTACAATAGGGCAGGACAACGACGACGACGACGACGACGACGACGACGACGACGACGACGACGACGACGACGGGTAACCAAAGCTTGAAGTGAGGGAGGGGACCAGGATAGAAGAGGAGCAAAGGGAGGAGAGTGTCTGATTAGCGGTATGGGCAGGCACTCGTGGAGGTACGGAGCGGGGCAAAGCAAATCACGCTCGTGCCCGAGACGCCTCTGGATGGCTCATGGCTGACCGGGCTGTGCGGGGCTACCTAGCAGCAAGCATCCGTTCTGCCAGGCAGCTCGTATGACCTCAGGTGCCTCAACAGGCACGTCGTCCAGCAGGGCCCTGAGGCCTGGAGGCCGCAGCAGGCTGCGTGCCCAGGGGACTGGAGCGGGCGCTGGCGGGATGTGCGGCCCTTTCCCCGCCGACGGGCGAGCTACCAAGACCTACAAAGCGATCGGGCACGGCAAACTAGTCAAGAACCGCGCCTCAAACCCGCGGGCCGCCCGGCGGGCCAGCGGCGAGTGGAAGGTGGTCTAATTCTCTGCACGTGTCCCCACCCACACACACACATACACCTTATGCGTTGGCCGAACATCAGCTCGAAGTTGTTGCGTCCCTCAGCTACTCGAACTCTTGCAGGGACGGGCGCTGAGAAGACCCCGAGAGGACGAGTGCGAGAGGAGAAAGCGTGCAGTGCGGCAGTGGTGCTGATAAAAACGCGGAACAGGCGAGAGGAGCTGGCTAAGCTAGAAGAAGAAAGAACGGCATAAACATAAACTACCAGCGCTCCGCGCGGATTTCTTGGATCTGCGCTGGGCCCCCCTTTATGCCGTTTCTTGTTTCTCGAGCTACGTAAGTATTGGCGGCGCGCGCACAAGGGGGTGCATGGAGGGGGGAGGGCTTCTTACAAGGAGGCTGCTTCTCAGAAGGCGCCGGCCGCCGCCGGCCTTACATCTGTAGACAAGGCCCGCGCGTTCTGGGAAGCACGGGTGCTTCTAAGAAGCCCTCCCCCCACCCCCCACCCCCCTCTGCGCGTGGCTGAAAGAAGAGCAACGGGGCCCACACTCGGGAGCGACAAAGAGGGGGGTGTCCAAGAGGGGGGGGTGCAGATCATGACCGGCGGCATGCGCGCGGCCCAGCGGGGGGGGGGGCCGGGACGTAATGAAATGGAACAAAGAGCGCCATGAAATCGGGGGAGATATCATGGCCCACGCCATGATTTCCACCCCGCGTGGGCCCCGGGACCGGGAGCTCGTCCCCTCCTCCTCCTCCCCCTCCCTCCTCCTCCTCCCTCCTCCCTCCTCCCTCCTCCCTCCTCCCTCCTACTCCTCCTCCCTCCTCCCTCCTCCCTCCTCCCTCCTCCCTCCTCCCTCCTCCTCCTCATCACCCCCTCTCTGCCGCCCCCGAGTGCGCCGTCACCCGACACTTGCGCTCTCCTGGGCCGGTGCGCCCCCACCGGGTGGGGCCCAGCGTCTGCCTCTGCCTCCTCCACCTCCTCCTCCTCCTCCTCCTCCTCCTCCTCTCCTCCTCCTCCTCCTCCTCCTCCTCCTCCTCCTACTCCTACCTCCTCCTCCTCCTTCTCCCTCCTCCCTCCTCCTCCTCCTCCTCCCCTCTCCTCCTCCCTCCTCCTCCTCCTCCTCCTCCTCCCCCCCCTCCCCTCCTCCTCCTCCTCCTCCTCCTCCTCCTCCTCCTCCTCCTCCTCCTCCTCCTCCTCCTCCTCCTCCTCCTCCTCCTCCTCCTCCTCCTCCTCCTCCTCCTCCAGGGCGGCTCCGAGGCGGCGCCCAAGCCGAGATCGAATCCAACACCTCCCCTACAGTCGGACCTGGGATGAGGTCGGGCGTGTCCTCATGCAGGCGGGGCTTGGAAGAGAAGTTCAAACTGCTTGGATTGCTTGAGAATGAAAAATAGTCACAGGAGCACGACCCCCTGCCCATTTTCGACTGTTCTCGAAAAATCCTCCTGTAGAGGGACATGCCCGGCTTAAACCTAGGACAGAAGAGCACCCTTTGAAAGCATGGGATCCTCCGCCGGCCAAAGCACACAGAACATCTAAGAGCACCCTCCCCAGAGGATGCACCAGGGCATCCAAGGAGCACGCAGAAGACTAATTAGGGCACCCTCCCCGAACCGACCTCGATTTCATACCCTGGTCCGACTGCACATCTTTTGGAAACCGATGTGCACTCTTAGGTCGGGCGTGCCCCTCTACACGAGGAAGAAAATTCAAAAGCAGTCAAACAAATTGTCCGGGGACCGTGTTTCGATCATTGTGGAATATTTGTGGAGCATGTTTTGGCCTCAGTTTTACTCATCGTCGAAAGTCCCCCTGTGGGGGGACGTGCCCGACCTTCGTGCACTCCCTGCCGGCCCCTCCCGAGGTCCCCCTTCTCTTGAAGCCTCCCAGGTAAGGCGGGCCGCGCCGCACGCGGGCCCACCTCTCGCCGAGGAGATGCAGGGGACCCTCGAGGGAGAGAGAGAGAGCACCGAAGCCCTCTGGCGTGCCACGAGCCTCGCCTGGCCGAGTCTGGCATAGAGTGGAGGCCATTCTTAGGTCGGGCGTGTCCTCCTACAGGAGGATGTTCGACAAAAAATGAAAAATTGACAAAACATATTCAAGAATGGTTCAAAAATGCGCAACAAAAGCCCCCCTGGGCTGCTGTTGGCGAGGCGGGGACTTGCCCGCACCCAACCGCCTGGGAGCCTGCCGCCCTGGGGCCCCCGTGCGCGGCGGACGCGGATGCGGTCGCGACCACGGCCTCCCGGCAGCGCAGATGCCTCGCCATCGGCCCAGAAACCTTCCACAAGAAACCCATCCCTGAGACCCCAGGACGTCCACTGACTTCTGGTATGGGAACGTCACGCTCGCCATCGCAAGACCATCGAAACCCAAGAAACCTACGGCACCCTGGAGGCAAGCAGGGTGTTTCTTGGCGTGGGCCCCCACTGCAATCAGTGGGGGGGGCCGCCTCCGGCAACCTCTCCGGCTCGTCCGTGGCCTTCTCGACCACGGACCGTTTCCCGGATGCGCTCTGGAACGCCGTCCTTGGCGGTGATGGGCCCCACTCGGGCCCAGAATCGAGGCCAAACCGTCCCCAGCGCCTTCTCGACCATGGACCTTTCCCCGGATGCGCTCTGGAACGCCGTCCTTGGCGGTGATGGGCCCCACTCGGGCCCAGCATCGAGGCCAAACCGTCCCCGGCGCGAGCGGGACCTGGACTGCATGGCCGACTGTTGTCAGAGCGCCCGGACCAACCTGGGGATGCTCGCGCCCGGGCCGTCCAGAAGCCCTCTTGGGCCGCCTCTCGAGCCCCTCTTGGCCCCCTCTCTGATCCGCTCTAGGGGGCCTCTTGGGTCGTGTCTGGGCCGTCTTCGGGCCGCGTTCGGCCTCCTGCGCTGGCCACACCGTCCCGGGACCGTGTGAGACTCGTCCGGGCGAGCGCTGGAAAGAGGGGGCGGTGAGCGCGAAGCGTCTTGAACTTAAATCCCAGGCCCAAGATGCACAGAATCAACGCCTCCCTCCCCCGTCCCCCCATCCGCCCATCCGCCCTCCGCTTCCCCTCCTCTGGGACGGGTGGGCGCAGGGCGCAGGGGAAGGGGGAGGCCGCCGAGCGAGGAGGAGGGCGACGACGACGAGGATGCAGACGCAGTGGGATTGGGGGGCAGGAGGCGGCGGAGGAGCACGAGGAGGACGCGAAGGGGAGGGCAGGAGGCTGAGGCGCCTCCTCGTCCTCCTCGCACCGAGGGCGAGGGAGGCGCCGACTCCGCACATCTCCCCCCAGGGGGGGGGGGCCCGCCCAGAGGAACGAGCGCGCCGGCAGCGCGACGGCCCGCGGGGGGCGCCCGCACGTCGGCCACGTCACTTCGCGTACACGGGCTTCAGGGCCGCGATGGCCTTGTCCAGGGCGTCGACGGCGGACATGTCCGCGCTCTGCTTCGCCTTCATCGCAGCGACCATCACCGCGTGGTGGAGGGCCAGGACCTCGAGGTACTCGTGGTGGCCCAGCTGGTCCTTCTTGACCTTCTGCGCCAGGAAGTACTCCGAGATGGTGGTCATGATCTTGGTGGCGTGCTCCTCCTTGGTGCTGATCCAGCGGACGGTCTGGTGGAGGGACTGAAGGTCGTTGGCCTTGAAAAGCTCCTGGGGAAACCAACAGGTACCGTACCGCTACTCCCCGGACCTCCCCTGGGGTGTGTTTCGATCAGAATTTTTCGAGGCGAATCCAGCGGTGGAGACGAGGGCCTCCCAGGAGGCCCCAAAAAAGTGAAAACAAGGCAAGGGGGTAGTGATATGGGCACCTGTTCCTCCTCTGAAGTCCTGGGACTGCGCGACGGCCTTGCGGATCGTCATGGCGTCCTCCAGGATGGCGGCGATGCGGCCGTCGTCGTGGAAGATGCCGCAGGGCACCTGGCAGTGGCACCGCGCCGCGCCCTTGCTCTGCTGGGCCCCGAGGCCGACGGCAAGGCCTGCGAAAGCAGGGAGGGCACGGACGGGGAAACATGAGGGCCCGTGACACGGGCACGCGAGGGGTGGCGGAGGGCAAATGCAAGAGGTGGAGAACCTCCTGCTCCCCATCCTCCTCATCCAAAGCCTTCAGAAGTGCGGGCAATGATCTGATCGCTCTGCCTAACTCCGGGTTGCACGGAGTCCATGCGATGTTCCGCCGCCGTCGCCACCTCCTCCTCCTCCTCCTCCTCCTCCTGCTCCTCCTCCTTCTCTTCCTCCTGCTCCTCCTCCTCCTCCACCTGATCCTATTAACTAACCCCCTCCTCCTCCTCCTGCCTATTCCCCTTCCGCTCCCTCCAACCCCAACTCCTCCCCCTCCCCCTCCTCCTCCTCCTCCTCCTCCTCCTTCTCATCCTCCTCCTTCTTCTGCTTCCCGCGACGACTGCGACAACAACAACGGCTACGACGACGTTGGCGACGACGACGACAATCACCTCTTGACTCAACTTGACACACCCCCAACGCCGCAGCGATCACGTCTGGCAATGCGGAGGCAAAAGGCTAGAGAGGAATCAAAATCGCAAGACAAGAGCGACAACTACGACGACGACGACGACGACGACGACGACGACGACGACGAGGACGACGGCGGCGGCGGCGGCGAAGGCGACGACGAAGGCGGGCGGCCGCGGCGACGACGGCGGGCGGCGGCGACGAAGGCGGGCCGCGGCGGGAACTACGACGACCACGGCGCGGCGGCGGCGAGGCCGCCTGCGCCCAGGCCCAGGCCGGCCGCCCGGGGCGGCCGCGCGAGGGCGCGCGCCAGGGAGTGGAGCATGGCCGGCAGGGGTGGCCGTCAAGGGGCGCTGCGACAGCGGCTGCGCACGGCGGCAGCGGCTGCGTGCGGTGCGCCGCGTGCGGTGCGCTGCGGCAGCGGCTGCGTGCGGTGCGCTGCGGCAGCGGCTGGGGGCGCGGCTCGAGGCTCGAGGGTCGAGGAACGAGGGTCGAAGGCTCGAGGGTCGAGGTTTTTGAGGACCGAGGGTCGAGACTCGAAGACTGAGGATCGAAGACCGAGGCTCGAGGCTGCTTCGCGCGCAGCAGGATCCGGGGGCACGACCCGTCGAGAGCCCAGCTCGCGCTCCCTTGGTTGACCAAATCTCAGCGCTTCTGCCCTCCGAGGAGGAGACGGTGCTCAAGTCAAAGCTTCGGGCAGGATGCCCCGTCGGCCTTCACACAGGGGCGACCTCCCGCTTCCCCGAATCACCCAGCCCCTCACCCCACCCCGTTCCCCGAGCTGCCCACCCCGTGCGGCAGCGCAAGTGACTCTGCAGGCTCCTCCTCCTCCTCCTCCTCCTCCTCCTCCTCCTCCTCCTCCTCCTCCTCCTCCTCCCCTCCCCTCCTCCTCCCTCCTCCTCCTCCTCCTCCTCCTCCTCCTCCTCCTCCTCCTCCTCTTCATCCTCCTCCTCCTTCTCTTCCTCATCCTGCTCCTCCTCCTCCTGCTCCTCCTCCTCCTCCTCCTCCTCCTCCTCCTCCTGCTGGGACTGCTTCTGCTTATGGTACGCCTCTCTTCCTCGTCGACGTTTTCGGGGGGAGGCGGAGGAGGAGGAGGAGGAGGAGGAGGAGGAGGACGACGAGGAGAAGGAGGAGGAGGAGGAGGAAGAGGAGGAAGAGGAGGAAAAGGAGGAGGAGGTCGCCGCCGCTGCCGGCGTCGTTGTCGAACGTCAAACGTCGGCGGGCGCCGCTGCTGTGCGGAGAGGGCGCGCTTTTTCTTTGCGCGCCGCCAGGGCCGCCACAGGCCGCAGGCCTATCACAGGCCGCCAGGGCGCGCCACGGGGGGGGCGGGGGCGGCTCGGCGCGCAGACGGCAGCGTGCCTGGGGGGGGTGCAGGGCGGGCATCGAGGATCGAGGGTTGAGGTTTCGAGCGCCGAGAACTGCCAGGTGGCCGGCCGAGGGTCTCTGGGGACCCCTGGAGACCTCCAGGACCCTGCGCCCGGGTACAGCGTCCTGGACCTCATGGCTCGAGGTTCGAGGGTTCTGGAAGTTTTTGGGCTTTGTTTGGGCCTCCAGGGGTGCCCTAGTCGCCACGGCGCAGTCGCCTCGAGATTCTGGCCCGAATGCACCACAGAACGGGTCCAGGAAGTCGATTTTGACGAGGGCACCAGCCTTCCACGTCGTGAAAGTTTCAATCCCGACGTATTCCCTCGATATCGACCTCCAGGGGCTGCTTTGGACCCCAGGGCCATCAGAAAACTGTCCAGGACGAAACTGGCCCCCGGTAAGGGGTCGAGAGATCAGGGGACTGCGAACTGAGACGGCATCAACAACAGCAACAACAATACACACACACAACCACTAAAAACACATGACTGCAACGAGCAAACCAGCAAACAACACATACAAACAGCAGCAACAACAACAACCACCACCACAACTACAACGACGAAAACAACAACAACAACAACAACAACAACAACAACAACAACAACAACAACAACAACAACAACAACAACAACAACAACAACAACAATAACAACAACAGCAGCAGCAACAACAACAACAACCACAACAACAGCCAACAACGACAGCACTAATAATAACGACAATAACAACCACAACAACAACAACATCAACACTAACAATACCAACATTAACAATAATAACAACAACAAGAAGAACCACAAGAACAACAACAGCAACAACAACCACAACAACCACAACAACAGCAAGAACAAGAACAACAACGAGAACAGCAACAACGAACACAACAACAATAACAACAGCAGCAACAATAACAACAATGAACAATCACGACAACAGAAACAACAACAACAACAACAACAACAACAACAACAACAATCATTTTACCCGAACGCTCAGTGTTCTCACCAGTGCCAGGGTTTTCACGCGACGCGAGACAATACCCCCACTTCGTGGGGGGGCAGTTCAAGCTCTACCAAATATCCAAACGACTCTTCGCGACCACCCAAACCCAGCTTCCCGCCCTATGACGTTGGGACACTTCACTTCGTGGCGTGCGGACGACCGTGGCTACTACACTGGCGTGGGGTACACACCCACAGAACTTGGTCACTTATTCGGGGCGCGCGTGTGCCCAGCATCCTGCAATTGTGACATACAATACATGACACAGACAGACAGAGAGAGAGACAGAGAGCAGACAGAGAGAGAGACAGAGAGAGCGGAGTTGGTCACATTTTTGGGGCAAGTTCCTAAGATCGTCGTGTTTTTTGTTGGTCTTGCGCGCGCGAATGTCCACTTTACTTTTTTTTGCAAGGGAGTATTGAAATTTGATTATGTTAGAACAAGAAAAAGTAGCTCGCGCGAGCTCATGTAACATAAATGTTGAAAAACCATTGGTTTTGTGGGAGTCGGACAGCGCGCGCGGGATGAAATTTGGACATTTTTTTTTGAAAAACCATTGGGTTTTTGATGTTTTTATGTTGAAATCGTTACGAAACCTAAGGTTCTGGAAGGATTTCGTCTTGCGCGCGCGAATGTCCACTTTACCTTATTTTTTGCAAGGGATTATTGAAATTTGATTATGTTAGAACAAGAAAAAGTAGCTCGCGCGAGCTCATGTAACATAAATGTTGAAAAACCATTGGTTTTGTGGGATTCGGACAGCGCGCGCGGAAGGACATTTTGACAATTTTTTCTTAAAAAACCATTGGGTTTTTGATGTTTTTATGTTAAAATCGTTACGAAACCTAAGGTTTTGGAAGGATTTCGTCTTGCGCGCACGAATGTCCACTTTACCTTATTTTTTGCAAGGGATTCTTGCAATTTGATCAAGTAAGAACAAGAATTTTCATTTTCTATTGTTTTTTGCAAGGGAAAACGGATTACAACAAAACAACCGGATCCGGACACAATCCACTTTTCTGAAGCTTTCGCGAAAAAATGATGAAAATGTAGCTGCGGCCTAGGCGCGGCGCAGAGGTCGCGCACCAGGGGTCCCAACAATAATAATTCTTAAGAAGGAATCATGTTCAACAACAACAACAACCACAACCACAACCACAACAACAACAGCAGCAGCAGTTACCCGAGGGGATCATAACACTTGGTATGTAGATACTTGGTTTCAAAAACAACAACGATAACGACGACAACAACAACAAACAACCACAACAGTAACAACAACAACAACAACAACAACGACGACGACGACGACGACGACGACGACGACGACGACAACAACAACAACAACAACAACAACAGCAGCAGCAGCAGCAACAGCAACAACGATTGTGAGACGGTTCGCTCTGACCTGCACGCGTGCCATTCAAAGCGTATCTCCCAAACCATCGACACCCGCCCTATTCGTCTTCGATCGCACATCCCTGGGGGAACATCTTCCTTGCTTGCCGCATATAATTAATGCAGACCCTAAGGGAGGGGAAGAGAGGACGGATGGGGGAGGGAGAAGAATGGAGCACAAGAGAAATTAGCAGGACGCGGGGGCCAGGAGCAGAAAACACGTGGCAGAACCAGACGGGCTGATCGGACGGGGAAACCCGACAATAACGGGAGGGTCGGGAAGGCGGGCCAAGGCAGCCAGGTGGAGCAGGCAGGTTGCTGAAGCATGAGTTCTGCATGAATTGCGAGGGAGCGACAGTGCGACTCCCAAATAAATCGCGAGAGCAGCCACAGCGAGAGCGCGATTCCTGAGCGTCGAGGGCGCGCCGTCGGAATAAATGGCGAGGAAGTCCCAAGCGAGAGGAGCGCGATGTTGAAATTGTTTGCAAGCAAGTATCGGGCGGAAGCCGTTGTTGTTGTAGTTTGGGGGCCAACATCCAAGTTTCGTGATCCTTCACTTTCTGTGTGTTTATGTTTTAATCCGCCGGTCACCTTGTAGGGCCATCAGGCTGTGAGGCTTAGGTTTCAGTACCCTGCACCAGTTGCAGCTTCCAGTCTCCAAAGCTACAGTCCTGCTTTCTGCTTCCTACTGTAAACTGCTGAAGTCCGCGCGAGGGAGACGCGCCGAAAAGTGTCACCCCCGAGGCCACGATCCATTACAAATTGCACCACGTTCGCGCCACCGAAGCCACGATCCCTACTAAAGTACGCCACGCTCACGCCCCCGAGGCCGCGATCCCATGCAAATAATTCCACACTGGCGCCCCCGAGGCCACGATCCATCGTCAATTACCCTACATTCACGCCCCCGAAGCCACGATTCCTCGAAAATTACGCCACGCTCGCGCTCCCAAGACCGCGATCCCATGCAAATTGCACCACATTCACGCCCCGGAGGCCACGATCACACGCAAAGAGGTCCCAGGGAGCCCCAAGACGGCCCCAAGAGGGGCCCAAGCGGGCACCACGAACCGAAAATTATATATTTGTGCCCCGAAAAGGCCCCAGGAGACCCTCAGAGACAGCCAAGAGGCCCCAGGAGGCCCCAAAAGGCGCCCAAGACGCGCCCAAGAGGCCTCCAAGAGGCCCAAAGGATACCCCACGAGGCCCAAAAAAGCCCCCAAGAAGCGCCCAAACCGCGGCCCCCCACGACACCCCAACACAGATACAAGAGACCACAGACCCACAACCCGGGCACGGTAGGGGGACAGCCACGACGAGAACGCCAACGTCTCGATATGCGCAGATGATTCCAATCCGCTCCCGCATGATGTTCCCAGATGCGCCAGGGCAGCGCCGAGACGCACCAACGCGACTCTGATAGACCCCATTATGATGGAGAGTAGGCCGGCGGCAGGGGGCGAAGACCTTACGCATAAAAAACACAACACGGGAAGAGCACTTCAGTTGAAACCATAACATAGCTACCTGAGGGGATCGATAACACTCGTTATGTAGATATTTGAATTCAAAAGCAACAACCGAGAACAACAAATACAGCAACAACACATCAGAAACACCAACAAACAACAAAAACACCGAGATCAACAACACCAAAACACCAACAGCAACAACAACAGCAGCAACAACAACGCCAACGACGACGACGCAACAACAACAGCAGCGGCAGCAGCAACAGCAGCAGCAGCAACAACAACATCAACAACAGCAACAACAACAACAACAAACACAACCACAGCAATACCAACAACAGCAGCAACAACAACAATAACAACGACAGCAATAACAACAACAATCACAACAATGACTGCAGCAACGGCAACAACAATAACAACAACAGCACCAACTACAACTACAACCACAACTACAGCCACAACAACAACAGCCACAACCATAACCGCGACCACAACCAATCATAACATGAACAACAGCAACAACAACAACGCCGACGACGACGAGGCAACAACAACAGCAGCAGCAACAGCAGCAGCAACAACAACAACAGCAACAACAACAGCAATAACAACAAAAACGGCAAAACAAAAAAAAAAAAAAAAAAACAAAAAAAAAAAAAAAAAAAAAAAAAAAAAAAAAAAAAAAAAAAAACAAAAAAAACAGCAGCAGCAGCAGCAGCAGCAGCAGCAGCAGCAGCAGCAACAACAACAACAACAACAACAACAACAATTACTAGCACGTGGGGACACTCCGTTCTCACCAGTGCCAGGGTTTTCATAGGAGGCGGGCAATACCCCCACTTTGTGGGGGGGCCGGTTCAAGCTCTACCAAATTTCCAAACGACTCTTCGCCACCACCCACACCCAGCTTCCCGCCCTATGACGTTCGGACACTTCACTTCGTGGCATGCGGACGACCGTGGCTACTATTCAGGGCCCCGCGGCCGACGACGACGGCGTGCGCGCGCGAAGAAAAAACGAATGTGTCCCGCATGGTATTATTTGACAGGGATGATGGCCCTGGCAGGTGCGCAACCGTTGTTGCAGAAGTTCGAAAAAGTTGCTCGCAAAAGCCCG